AATTTATTTTTAAAAAATATTATATAACTTTTTGCAGGCAAATTTGCCTGCACATAGTCTACAGACGAAGAGATAATCGGTCACGTAAATGGCCGATTATACTTTACTGCTAAAATTTCGCTTATATTCAACAAAGAAAAATATAATAAAAAATTTGGCAGCAATTTAAGAACTCATGTCCGGGTGTTTTTTTGAGTTACTCCGGAGTAGTGACTGGACTCGTCAACTCGTGACTCGAATAATTCGAATTTATCATTCTTCAAATCATGAAAATTTAACTCACGAGTTAATTATTAATGTAAATTACGTGCTACGTATGTTAAAATAATTAATACTAAAATTTGTAATTATGCATAGTAAATACGTACAGTACATACATATGTGATTTTAATGTAGTTAAATTAATGTTAAGACTAGAGTGTACTGTGCATATGATAAAAGCAACCCAAAACGGGGGTTTTATATATAGCATATTGAAATTTAAATAAACTAAATACTTGCTATATTTAATAAAAATAAAAATTTTTTAATAACTTTTAAGACATTTCCATATATACAAATAACGAAAACTAAAGCAATACGTAATGAACAGGAGGAATCCTATGCTGAAGAAATTAGTCAAAGTACTATTACAGCAAAGCAAAACCTTGATCCAGAATTGGTGGGTGGGGTGTTATTTTTAAAAAGAATCATGAATTTGCTAGACACATTATTTCAAGTTGAAAATAATTAATATGCTACTTGTTTACATAACTTATAATCTGTGATAATAACATGTAATTTGAATTATATTTACTTTGCTTAACTCTTTATTTGCTTTTGTAACTCAATTTACAAAATTTTCAATAAATTAGTTGTTGTAACTCGAATAACTCGAATAACACTCGAAGAATATTATTATTCGAATGATTCGAGCACTCTTCGGAATTTAATTCGCGAGTTACGAGTTAACACGAGTCCAGTCACTACTCTGGAGAAATCACTAATAAAATCGCAATCTTATCGTATAAAAGAGAATATTAAAGAACCGCGATCAGATGAAGCATATAATATAGAATCTATCTTTTGTAATTTAAAAAAACAATTTCTTAAACTTTAGCGAAGGTAAATAAACTTTATTTACTTATCTATCAATTTATGAATCTTTAAAAGATGTTACACATGTACTTAATTGTAATCTGGTATAGAAACATGTGTAATAAATATAGATATATATGCGGACAATCAATATTGTAGGTACGTATGTACGTACGTACGTATAATAAATATAGATATGTATATGGACAATTAATATTATATATAGATGTAAACAATTATAATATAAAATATATATGATGATTATGAACATTTATCTGTTACTATTTAATTAGTTTATCCTAATTATGTTGCCTGATACACCATTTTAATCTAGTTTATAAAAATTAAGGGTGCACCAAATGTGTAGTGAAGGTTGATGCACCGACATCATTTCTACCCAAATTTGGCAAATTCCAATTTGCTTCTACGGTAGCCAAGTATGAATAATGATTGCAAGCGGTATTGTCATCATGATTTGGAGGAGGAACAACAGGAGAACCAACAAGAGCGCTATAAATGTGATTGTTTTCAGTACCGTCATCTTCATCAAAAGTGATAAAGATTAATGTATTGGTTGTGAATGCTGGTTGCGTGAGCTTTGGTTCAAGCCAATTTTGTAACCAATTGTTTGCAAATGCTACGCCAGTGTCATGACCATCATTTTTTTTGATTTGGTACATAATAGACAAATTGCGGTACTTGACTTGCAGTTATGTCAGAATCAAGTTGGGTACCAGCAACTATTTTCGCACAACGAGTGGAATTTAATCTTATTGTATCCATTGAAATGAAAGGATTATGCTTCCGTGCGTATAACTTTGTTTTTTTAGGGTAAACACTAATGGGATCACAGTTACCAGCTATAAAAATGATAGAAATGATATAGTGAAATTGAATAACAATCCAAAATAAATAAAATAAATAAAATAAATAAAATAAATAAAATAAATAAAATAAATAAAATAAATAAATAAATAAATAAATCAGGATTTAGTGATAAATATGATGCACATACGATAGTCTTCCATATAAGCTTTCCAGGAGATACCGGCAGCTTCAAGACGGTCAACTAGATTGATTCCGGCAATGTCGTGATTTGAATCGTCCGTGACATTAGCGGTTGAACCAAAAATTGTGGCAATATAATTTGGCTAAAATACAAGAAAGTTATTTTTAAATTTTATTATCAAAAGAAATAGAAAAATAAGATTTACCTGAGACGGATGTGCAACCGCAAAGTAGTTGGAAAGAACAAGGCCATTACTACGGATAGTTAAATTTTGAAAATAAGGTTGTACTATTGTTTTATTATATCCAGTGTTTTCAAACATGACCAAGACAATTCGGTCAAAATATGTTCCCGTCACGATAGCATTGACGGTCACTCCAATAGAAGCAACAATTAAGAAGAGAATGACAGATGCAAAATGCTTCATCCTTATTTTCGTGTAAAGGTTATGAAAAATTGAACACCTTTTGAAAGTGGAATTCATCGCGTTTTTATATGTTAGTTGAAATATAATATGACGTTTTTTTCACAGAAAAAATTAATAATGTCGTACAACTCGAAACTAATATTAAATATGTAAAACTTGGGAATGCCTCAAAACTCGAGACACAATATAAATTTCATTCTTTTTGATGATCATGAAGACGATCGTTGCACTGTATTAATACATGTGAGTGACGCCAAACCGAAATTAGATTCCAGTTTTCATGTTTATTATTTATAATTTACCGAGCTTAGCTCTGATCAGGAACTTGCATAATATGTAAGTCATAATATGTAAGTTTATGTCGCCGGTTTGGGTAAATAATAATAATTGAC